CGGTCTTTGAGGCTTTGAAGCTTTTTTTGTAGAGATGGGCAGATGAAGCCTTGTGAAGCTTTTGAGGCTTTTTCCTGATTGTACCAAAAAAGATTCAAAACTTCAAAGCATCAAAGACAGACCCTATCAGTGACATCTAGTGGTCAGCTGCAATTATAACAGCCACTTTCAAATGTTTCACACATCTTGTTGATCCCAGTTTCAACACAAAAGCAATACTCAGCAATAGCAGCTGTCTTCATTCTGAGAATCATTGTCCACACATGAAAGTATTACTATGCCAAAGATTCGAGTCAGTCACCTCGCTTCAGGTGTTTCATTGTGACGTATGAAGCCTCAAACGTCAATCGGTCACATGATCATGGAGATTTGATACAAGCCTTGACACAGTCTTTCTAACCAGTCTGCTTCAATAGAGTGAAACAGGCTTCGGAGCCTCAGTGTCAAACGTCCCATTCTTTACTTTTTTGGTACATTCTTTACTTTACATGTTGTTTCCCTGTCTTTGTCCCAAGATATGGGATCAGCTCCAGCAGCCCGCAAGCCGACAAGCAGTGAGGAGAATGAACTAATTCTTTAAAATACTTTCTCTAATGTATAATTAACAAGAAAAGGAAGTAAGACAAACTGCTTAGGATTGTTTATTGCAGCAAATTAATTAGAAAGGAAACAGTACATACAGTGGGTACGGAAAGTATTCAGACCCCCTTCAATTTTTCACTCTTTGTTATATTGCAGCCATTTGCTAAAATCGTTTAAGTTAATTTTTTTTACATACAGACTACTGGACGCACAACAAAGAATGAACTGTGCTGATAAACAACAACAACAACAAAAAAGACCTGCACAAAACTAGAATAATATTTCCAATGATTTTATATTTATATTTCCTGATCATAAATTTAAAGTTGCCTGGTATTTCCAGGGTTCCACACTCACTAAACTTATCCACATATTACAACATTCAACTGAAATCGACTAAATAATAATCTAAAATACTCCTAGAATCCATTGGAACAAGTCATTTTGTTCAGTTTATGTCAATTTATGAATAAACTTCCAGTTACATTGTTGCTTTTCCAGCAAGGTAAAAGTTTGATTAATATTTTGATTCAGAGGAATCAACACATGAAATTGAGTGACACTCTACATCAGGGGTACTCAAGTTCAGAGGCCAAGAGGGCCACATTTAAACCACATAAAATGCGAAGGGCCACAAATTACAATTTGCATCATAGAATTTTAAGACAATATTTGCAGTTTTACTGATTTAGAAAAGTAATAAACTGATTAAACAATCATCTCTGAGTTTAAGAGAAAACGCCAATGAACATTGGCTAGTGGAATTTGCATACCTGAGCCACTCCCCGTGAATACGGGTATAAATAGGCGACAGGTGCATCCACTCTTCAGGTTTTACGCTGAGGAGCCGAGAACGTGTCCCGGCAACAGCGAGCCAGTCGTCGAGATAGTTGAGGATCCTGATGCCCACTTCCCATAGTGGGGTAAGGGCGCGGTGACGAGTGGGGGCGGGGCCAAGAGCCGTGGGAACGGAGCGAGGCCGGTGGAGTAATTGATAATGAGCGACACCTGCACCACTCACCGGTGTCCTCAGCACCACGACCCCCCTCAGCAGCGAGGGCTCTCTGACAGCGTGTCCCTCCTTCCTCCCGGGTTTCGGCACCAATGTAATAACGTTCGTAGTTCGGGAAGGAGGCGGGAACCGGCAAACGTTCAAACACTTTAATAAACAAACACAAAATGAAAGTAAAGCAGCAGCCCCTCGTGGACGACTGCCGCACACAAAACACAAAATAAAGTCCAGGCCTGGTCCTCTCTCGTCTTTCACTGTCGTCACTCCTTTTATCCTTCCGGAGCTCCTCCGTGGGACTCGAGACCGGTGAGTGGTGCAGGTGTCGCTCATTATCAATTACTCCACCGGCCTCGCTCCGTTCCCACGGCTCTTGGCCCCGCCCCCACTCGTCACAGGCGCCCTCCGTGACTTTCGTGAAGACGCGGGGGGACAGGGAGAGCCCGAAGGGGAGGACCTTGTACTGCCATGCCCAACCCTCGAAAGCAAACCGCAGGAACGGTCTGTGACGAGGGAGGATTGAGACATGAAAGTACGCATCCTTCAGGTCGATCGCTGCAAACCAATCCAGGGTTTGAACGCATTTGATAATACGCATCTGTGTCAACATCTTGAATGGGAGCTTGTGAAGGGCCTGATTCAAGATTCGCAGATCCAAGATAGGTCGAAGGCCACCGCTTTCATGGGTACGATGAAGTAAGGGCTGTAAAACCCCTTCCCCATCTCGGCTGGAGGGACCGGCTCGATTGCATCCTTTGCCAACAGGACAGCAATCTCCTTGCGCAAGACAGAGGCGTCTCAGACTGCCACCAAAGTCTCGAGAACGCCATTGAACTTAGGAGGTCGCCTGATGAACTGAATCGTATAGCCGAGTCTAACCGTCCGAATGAGCCAATGGGACGGGTTGGGCAGCGCAAGCCACGCCTCCAAACTCCGTACGAGTGGCATCAAAGGGACAGTTGACGTACCCGCAGTGGTGCAGTGATAGGGAGTTGAACTGGGTGGCCCAGAAGGCGTCGCGTTCTGAGTCATCACAGCAAAACTCCCCGTGTCCCCGGAGGGACTGGCCAGAGACGCGTGGAGAGGCGTTGCGTCTCCGAACCGCGACCTCTTGGCCACTGACAATAGGGGGTGTCGAGAGTGAGGAAGCAGTGCGTCGCTCACTGTCGACCAATGAGCCTTGCAACCTGGAGGAAAAGGAAACTGCTCTTTTTTTGAGAATGTGGCTACCGTTGGCCATTGAGCCAGCGGCGGAACAAAAAGAAAAGGAAAAAGAAGATTCTCCGCCCGGCCTTCCTCCGGGGGAAGGAGCGGCGCTGTCTCCGCCACCTCCTGAAGAGCAGTCTCCCACATCTCCGGGTTGCCCATGTCAGGGCCGCTTCATTGTCTTCTTAGAGAACTTAGCTGGATGCGACACGGGGGGCGTCGCTCTCCTGCGTGGGGCTCGACGCGTCGGCCTTGATGTAGTCTCAGCGCGGGGCGGAGCCGGAGTGGAGGACGCAGGAGAGCGCCCACGGCGACAAGCAGGCTGAGACACGGCACGCGACGGAACGGTGGCAGCTGGAGGATCACGTCGGGGCAAGATTTGTTGAATGGCCTCAGTCTGCTTTTGTACTGCCGAGAACTGCTGGACAGCCTGGGAGATGGGAGCGTCGAGAAAGCGAACCTTGTCAACGTCTCTCATCTCGGCCAGGTTGAGCCAGAGATGGTGCTCCTGGACCACCAGAGCGGATATCGCCTTCCCGAGGGACCGCATCGTGACTTTCGTCACCTGGAGGGCAAAGTCAGTCACCGTGCGCAGCTCCTGCATCAACCTTGGGTCGGTACTACCCTCGTGCATTTGTTTTAACGCCTTGGCTTGGTGTACCTGCAGGATAGCCATGGCATGCAGGGCAGAGGCAGCCTGGCCCGTGGCACTGTAAGCTTTGGCAGCGAGAGCCACCGGCAGCTTACAGGCCTTGGACGGGAGACGTGGACAATTCCTCCAAGTGGCGTCGTTTTTAGGGCACAGGTGCACCGCAACCGCTCTCTCCACCTGGGGAATGTCCACGTACCCCCTGGCCACCCCGCCATCGAGGGTAGTGAGGATGGAAGAGGGAGACGAGCGGCTTCTGGCCGTAAAAGGGGCCGTCCACGACTTTGTCACCTCTTCATGCACCTCCGGGAAGAAAGGAACCGGAGCAGAACGCGGTTGTGAGCCGCGCTCCGCTCTGAGAAACCAATCATCCAGCCGCGAGCGCTCAGGGCTGGGCGGAGTACTCACGAGGGGGGCAGCCCTGCCGAATCTTTATCCTCAGAGGCCGAAAGCCCATCCCCCGATGCTGCAATCGACATCTGATCCACACCGAATGACACGCTGGGACCGCCGTGAAACGACCCAGCAGAATCATCCGGCAGCCGCACGGAACAGGCGCTGCGGGAGGAGTGAGAGGTCCGTGGGGCGTGGCCCGGCGGAGAAGCTCTCACAGTCACCCTCAGATCTCCCAGAGCACCAGCCAGCGGTCCTCTGCTCGCAGCAGAGAAACCGGGACGGGTAGTGACAGAGGGGTCTGCTGCACTCCCCTTGAGGAGCGAAAGACGTGAATCGCAGCGCTGCCATGTTCATATGCCCACAATAGACGCATGACTCATCCACGACAGAGGACAGGAAACGACTGCATCCAGAAGGACACGGACGAAACAGCATCTTGAAAAAAACCGCGAATCGTCCGTGATTTGCTTTTTTAGAGGAAACTGCTCTTTTAGCTTAAGCGCCCAGGGGAATCGCTGATGACAGACACCGCTGTAACGCGCCGTTACACCAGCCAGGAACAGCTCTCCGAACACAAAGATGAATGGCTTTGTAGTGAATATATAACATCAACTAATTGGCTCCGAAGCAAAAATCTGAAGAGTGGATGCACCTGTCGCCTATTTATACCTGTATGCACGGGGAGTTGCTCAGGTATGCAAAATCCACTAGCCAATTTTCATTAGCGTTTTCTCTTAAAGTCCCCCTGTAGTCAAAAATGTTATCCTTTAAAACTCATCTTTGATCATAAAAATGACATATTTAAAAAAAAATTCTTGTGAAAATAATTTTCTCATGCCTTAAAATAGCTTGAATGCAACTCTACACCCTTGCCTCATTTACTATACGCGGATCTATGAATACGCAAATTAGCCCCGCCTCCACTCAGTCACACAACAGCCAAACTGTTATTGAGTTTTGTGACGTAGCAAAACAAAGGCAGTTTCAAACCGCATTTCTGTGACTGCCTTTGGGAAACTATACAGTTTTAAGGAGAAAATACTCAGCAATGGTGTTGATAAATGGATTGGCACATGGTTTGTCTAAAAGCATATTAAAAACAACACATAGACAAATAAACATAAAACATAAAAAACTTGATTTTCACCACAGGGGGACTTTAAACTCTCCCAAGCGAGACCCCATATGTCGTTTGACATAACTCGTAGTAACTGACAGATAGGGAACTACATGAAAGAATAGACGTGATTACAGCTCTATTCATTGTAATGGGAGCGCTTTTTGCTTGTTTTATCCCATTCACAATTTGAATAAAAGTTTGTTTATTGTTTGTTTGTTGCTACTAAGAGGACTTTCTGCCATTTTCATAATGCAAAGTGTCAGGAGTATCAACTGCATTTAAGCGACACAAGCATAAAGTCACTCTGCCTAATATTTGTGCTACTTTTGAGTGTAAATTTGAATAAAAATACATTAATCTTCAGCATGACGCGGGCCACGACATTAATGCAGTTGGGCCGGATACGGCCCACGGGCTGCCTGTCGAGTACACAGGCTCTACATAGTCAACATTTGAGGGAATCTCAACAACCGTTCAATATTTGAAACTACAGCAAAGCAGTCGGTCAGGAATGGCCACAGGAATGCATACGCACAAACGAAAATAATGTCTTCCAAAATGATTGTGCAGATGATTGTAGTAATTGCTCCTTTTTCTAAACCTCTTGTCACACTGAAGAAAATGGCAGTTTCTTCCCAGAATGAGCTTTCAAATGACGTTTCATGCTGCCTTGACATGTGAATCTCTTCTCACACTGAGGACATTTGTAAGGCTTCTCTCCAGTGTGAACTACCTTGTGAATCTGAAGGTATTCTTTAACCCGGAAACACTTTCCACACTGTTCACAGGTGAAAGGTTTCTCTCCAGTGTGAATTCTCAAGTGAACCTTGAGGTTATCTTCTCGTGAGCAACTCTTTCCACAGTGATGGCACATGAGAGGCTTTTCTCCGATGTGAATTTTAACATGATCCTGAAGGTGATTCGTGTCTGTAAAACTTATTTCGCACTGATGACATTTAAAACCGTTCTCTGCTGAATGAATTTTCATGTGCTTATTAAGGTTTTCTTTATATCTGAAACTCTTTCCACACTGATCACATGTAAATGGCTTCTCTCCAGAGTGACTTCTTATGTGAGTCTTTAGGCTTTCTTTGAGCCTGAAACTCTTTCCACACTGAGAGCATATTAATGGTTTCTTTTCAGTGTGAACTCTCATGTGAGTCGTAAGATGTCCATTTTGTGTGAAACTCTTCCCACACAGTTTGCAGATGTAAGGTCTCTCTCCAGTGTGACTTCTTATGTGAGTCTTTAGGCTTTCTTTGAGCCTGAAACTCTTTCCACACTGAGGGCAGGTGAAAGGCTTCTCTCCAGTGTGAATTCTCATGTGGGCGTTTAAGTGACTTCTTATGTGAGTCTTTAGGCTTTCTTTGAGCCTGAAACTCTTTCCACACTGAGGGCAGGTGAATGGCTTCTCTCCAGTGTGAACTCTCATGTGGGCATCAAGGGTTCTTTTCTGTGTAAAACACTTTCCACACTGAGAGCATATTAATGGTTTCTTTTCAGTGTGAACTCTCATGTGAGTCGTAAGATGTCCATTTTGTGTGAAACTCTTCCCACACAGTTTGCAGATGTAAGGTCTCTCTCCAGTGTGACTTCTTATGTGAGTCTTTAGGCTTTCTTTGAGCCTGAAACTCTTTCCACACTGTTCACAGGTGTAAGGTCTGTCTTCGGTATGAATTCTCATGTGTGTCCCAAGGTTTTTTTTCCGTTTAAAACATTTTCCACACCGAGGGCATATTAACGGTTTATTTTCAGTGTGAATTTTCATGTGGACTTTAAGGCTTTCTTTTTGATTGAAAATCTCTCCACACTGTTGGCAGGTGAAAGAGCTCTCTCCAGTGTGAATTCTCATTTGGGAATGAAGGTTTTGTGTTTTTTCAGCTTTTTTTGGTGAGGAGGTCTTTTCATTCTGTGAGCAACTAATCGATTCCTCTTCAGTTTTGAAATCGTGATGTTTCTCGTTTTGATCTTTCTCTTCCATTTCATTCTGTTCTTGACTCTCCTCTTTCAGCGCCATCAGGTCTGAGGTGAAAAGAGACAAATACAAGTTAACACCAGTTTAAAGGCATGAAGCAGCAAACATCAAAACCATGAAAAGCATCAAATCCAAGCTAGATCCTATACCTACTAAAATTCTGAAAGAGTTGTAACCTGTAATCTCAGAAATTCTTGTCGATATTGTTAATCCTTTGCTTTCTTTAGGACCTCCACTCATCTAGATCTTGATGGAGGGATGTACCATTACATTGTTTTCCACAATTACGTATCTGGTTGTTGCATTCACAAATTGTTAATAATAATAATAATCATGGCCGTCTTTCACCTTATAAATGTTGCAGGATCAACAAATAAGCTCTAGTTGGTTGAATAGAGCACTTACTAGTCACACTGACCACTGTCTGCATTTCCATTACCCTTCAAATCGTGCAAACTGAAATTGTGAATTGAAAATGCACCCAATGGAAACCTGTCAATTTCGCAAAACTCCCATATATCACAAAACATTTTTACACTTGCATGGCTGTGATGTACGTAAACCTACCAACATCCATCAGCATGACTTATTGCAAGGTGAAAAATTATGTTTTAGTCTCATAAAAAAATGCTGTTGATGGAAATGCTGTCATTTTGCAATAGTTTTTTTAATCGACATTAATAAAATATTGCAGAAGTTTTGTACATCTGTAATCAAAAAGCAATGTCTGCATCATTTTAGTCTGGAGGATTGACTGCACTGGGAATAAACGGTTACTGGCCACAGCATTTGCTAAATTCAATCTGAAACGAAAGAGATTTCATCAGTGCCAGTCCTCCCTATGCGCAAATTATGAAAGTTGCATATGGCCCTCGAACCACCAAGGGGCCCCACTGCAGCTGAGCAATTCAAATATTTTTTTTTCCCCCAATGATTATAAAAACACCTTGCTTGATTCTGTTCCTGTCATTTAAAGCGGCCTTTGGCATTTTTCCTTGATAGGACAGTGGGAATACGACAGGAAGTGAGTAAGAGCTCGGCAGAGAACTTAATGGCCCGGTTTGACAGACGGGGCTTAGCTTAAGCTAGAAATGGAGCGTAGCGATAGTTCTGGCAGGCCATGTTAGTCAAGCTCGCATCAGCTGACACTCAGCTGACCCACGTCTACCTATAGGATCACGACACCAATCATAATTCCCTTCATAAGGTCCCTTCAGTCATTATTCAGCAGCTATCGCTTCGCTCAGGAACTAATCAGACGGCGAATTCCATCTCCATAGGAAGCTTTTAATCTGGATTTTTGACAGGATTCCCACAGAGTATCTCACCAGATTCAAGTTGTGAGCTTAAGCGAATTCGCCGGGTTGTTTGTCAAGCCGATAGACTGAAGTGATCTGAGCGAGCACGGCTCCTCGCAATTGATATAGACACTTTGCCCGCAATTCTTCGCCAAAGTTGTGCTAATATGACTGCACCAACAACTTTACACGAGATCTGCTTCCCCACTGGAAGAAGCAAGATATTCAAGAAGGGTTAAAGCATCCATGTAACAACTGGCCATTTCACCTTTATTCATCTCTGAATGTCTTCACGAAGCTAAGCAAAGTTTATTTTATTTTATTGCCTAATGCTATGTTGGCGAATATGCTTCAGATATTGCTCATTGTCTAAGGCTAGTTGTTCAGTTATGTTTGCTAGGCATGCTATCGTATTGTCACACTGGTAACATTACCAGTTAAATTTACCAGCGAGCCTTGTTTTAATCTGTTGTCAAGGCTGTCGATATGAAATAGGCTTGCTACTTCAGGCTCATCCATTGGGGATGCTTTCATTAAACTTATCCGACTATTTCCAACACGCTGTGTTTAGGTCAGTGATATACTGTTGCTCAAGCTAACTAGTGTATCGGTAATGTGCTTGATACTTTATGCGCAGATCATAAATTTGCTTCTAAAGTTGTATCAATGCTAAACGTTATCTGGACATGGGCAAATGCTGTTGCCTAAATTCGATTATTGACCATATGCAGTACTGCTTTAAAGGGGCATGCTGCTCTTTTTAGCTGCTATAAAAGAGCACCCCTTCGCTACTTCTATTAGGGCATGCTGCCCCACTCTATGCATTTCAGAAGGTCTTAGCTTAAAGCTATCAGGGTATTGGGATTGCTTGCTTGTTAAGGCTTATCTAGTGTCCAGTATCATATCGTTGCTAGACCTGCTGTTGCTTAAGCGGGATTTATACTTTTGCCTGGCTCCGCTTCGCGAGCCTCCGCTGACTGCGTGCACACCTTCCCAAACGGACAAGGCTTATACTTGTCGCGTTTGTCGTTGTACTATTCTTTGAAATAACAGGGGGCGACGAGGAGTAATTGTCTTCTAAAACCATCGGGAATCACCGGTGAGAAGAAGTCATTTGCCGGTACAAGATTTCTCGCGTGATGAATGAGTTGATGAATTAATAATTTCTTTATGTACAAACTGATTAAAATAATCTTAAGATTTGGGTTTACTTCGCATCAAACACAAGACAACTTTAAGCAAATAGTGTATAAATAGTATCTAAATGAATTCTATTTCTATTTTTAAACAATAAAAATAAAACGTACTTCAATTTATAAGCCTTGGACAAACTATGCAAAAAAAAACTGTCACTGCCACTGTCTTCCTGAAGGGGCAAGCTGCTCTTCCTACCTGCTCATAGCAGAAAAGCACCCCTTCGCCGCCACTCTCCTTCCGTAAGGCATTCAGTTATTGCTATCAGCATTTTGGTTGGGGGGTATTCTGCTCTCCCTGCTCCTATCCATGCTAGGCTGCGTAGATGGGCAGGGAGTGTTTGCCCAGGACAGAACCATTCCCCCAACCTAAAATGTATGCTAATCGTAAGTTATATTGACAATAGTGGTCCTGACAGAAATGGAGCGTAGCGATAGTTCTGGCAGGCCATGTTAGTCAAGCTCGCATCAGCTGACACTCAGCTGACCCACGTCTACCTATAGGATCATGACACCAATCATAATTCCCTTCATAAGGTCCCTTCAGTAATTATTCAGCAGCTATCGCTTCGCTCAGGAACTAATCACCCACCTCCATCCCCAGCTCCTCCTGTGCATTACCGCCACCTATCTCTCAAATGGACCATTGACACTCCTAATTGAGATTGTAGATAGTGTCAATGGTCCATTTGACAGATAGGTGGCGGTAATGCACTTATAAGTCTGAGATCCGCCGTAAAGCAAGAAGAAGAAGACGCGTCACGCGCCGGCTGTCGAGGACGTGCACAGGACAGTTGGACATTGCGGTGGATCAGAGGTAAAAAAACGATATAAATACAGTTCAGTTTCTTGCACAGACCGATCGTTTCGTGTCTTTACACATCAATGTATCGTCACGAGTCGCAGGGTTTCATTTGGTTGTAGATTTCTAGGTTTGCATAATTAAGTGCTAGAAATTAATGGTTTATATTTTAGAAGCAGATATTAGGATTAATGTTACAGAAAAATATATATATTTTTTTGTTTAGGCTAATTCTGTATTATTGGTACAACTCAAATGCATGATGTCATAATAACAAATGTCCAATATGAAAGCAGGATCTTCTTGTTTGTCCGGGGCCCGTTCTTCGTACATCGCTTACTTTTTTGAAATGTCACATCCGAGATGATATCATCGCGCTAATCAGGATCTGGCTAATTCGATTCTTCGAACGCACCTGTTGTTAAAGTTTCTTAAGGGTCAAGATCATTATCTGCGTCTCCTGCGCTCCATCAAGCCACTCCCACAATATCTGTCAGCACTCAAATTAATGCACGACTCTACATTATCGGGTGGCTGGGACAGATTTTAAGTATCAATTCTGCTTAAAAAGATGCGATCTAATCCTGTTTACATGAAATAAGCTGCTCGCGAGCAGGTTTAAGTTTACGGACCTGTTGCTATGACAGCAACTCCGGGATGAGCTTCGAAGAACCAAACAATCCAAGATCAGGCCAAATCATCAACAATCAAATCCAGCTAACTGAGTTAGCAACGTACGAAGAATGGGCCCCTGGTCACGTGTCTGTCAACAAACCACTCTAATTTTTACACTCATGTGACATTCTTTATCAATATTCATTTCTGTAGAGCTGGACATTTATATAAGGATCAAATGAGTGAGTTCAGCTTTGAGAATAAAAACCAACCTGTTTGTTCCTCAGTATCTTCATGTTTGGCTCTGAATGTTTCTTCAATCTTCATGTCTTCACTCTCCTCTTTAATAAACTCCATCTTTGTTTGTTCCTCAGTATCTTCATGTTTGGCTCTGAATGTTTCTTCAATCTTCATGTCTTCACTCTCCTCTTTAATAAACTCCATCTTTGTTTGTTCCTCAGTATCTTCATGTTTGGCTCTGAATGTTTCTTCAATCTTCATGTCTTCACTCTCCTCTTTAATAAACTCCATCTTTGTAATAGTGTCACGTGGATCTCAGCCGCTTCAGGAGTTTTTCTGTGTTTGGACACTTTGCCTTGTTTAAGATGAGAATAATTAACAGAAAGTACATTATTAAATTAATAATTTAATAATTAAAGTAAATTAATAATAAAAAAAATAAATGCAAACTAAATCTCTGAGTGCGTCTCAATCAGCTCCCTGGTTCAGTAGTCAGCACACTGGGAAGGGAGTCAGTCAGAGAGAGAGAGTTAATGGCCTTAAATGAAATGATTAAAATATACATGCACTTATATTAAGTATTAATCATTTATATTTGGTATTCAATTATTTGTACATAAAATTAAACTGATTACACTCTCATGAAAACATTTGCAGCTGGTTTGTAAAAGTCTTGTTCAGCGTGCGCTGATTCGAATCACTGAATCATTTACGAATGACTCGGTTCAGATGATTCGGATTCACAGTTTATCTCTCTTTTTTCCAGTTCTTGAACGATGCACGGGATTCTCCTAATAATAATTTCATATAATGAACTTGTCACGACTGCTACGGTGAGGAGCAAGGAGACGTAGGAGTTACACAACACAAGAGTCTTTAATAATCCAAATCACAGGGAAAACGGGGCACACAGGAGACACACATAGCACCAACTGATGTATAAAACCGGACACGAAACAAGGGTCAGAACACATTTTAAATACTGAACTAAACGAGGGAATTAATGAGACACACCTGAGATCAATCAAACACAATCAGAACAGGAAGATAACCAAATATGGGCATGTCACACACAAGGGAAAACTAGGTCAATGGGAGCACATGGGGAGCAAAACACACACAGACAGTCCATATTCCTGACATATCGCCCCCCTCCCGGAAGGCGCGTCCTCGTGCCGAAGAAACAACAGAAGGAGGAACGGGTGGGAACTTGGGAGGAGGCTCAGGAGGAGGACGGACACCCGGGAGGGGGCTGGCAGACAGAGTCCAGGGAGGTGACGATGGAGGGAGGAGCCAAGGAGGAAACAGGAGGAGCCAGGGCATATCAGACAAAGGGAGGAGCCAGGGAGACGACAGGAGGGACTTGGAGCATGCAGCGCCAGGTGGGACCCAGGCCACAGCCGTAATGGGGACCCACGGGGGAGCAAACAGAGGGAGGAGCCATGGCGGAGGAAGGGCCGACGACTCCAGGGGCCGAGGGAGGAGCCATGGTGGAGGAAGGGCTGACGACTCCAGGGAGCCGACCAACGGCGGCGGAGACGGAGAGCCGATGAGCCAGGGCGACACAGAGGATCCCGAGGGCCGAGGCGGAGCAGATGGCTCAGGCGACCGATATGGAGGCGGGGATCCAGAAGGCCACGGTGGAGCCGAAGCGACAGAGGACCAAGGTGGAGCCGAAGGGAAGGAGGAGCATGGCGGAGCCGGAGGTACAGAGGGACGAGGTGCAGCCGGAGGAGTGGAGCCCCAAGGCGCAGGATGGTCGACGACAGACCAAGGCGGAGCCGGAGGGATGAGGGAGCCCGGTGGAGCCAGTGGACTGATGGACCACGGCGGAAAAGAGGGTGCTAGGAGCCATGGTGGAGCCGCTGGGTCGATGGGCCAAGGCGGAGCCTGGGGCTGGAGACGGAGGAAAGGGATACTCCAGCCACGGTGACGATGGAGGATGACAGACCCGTGGAGCTCGCACCGTACAGATGGTGGGCTGAGGGCGTGCAGAGGGGCTGCCAGACGACAGCGGTGGAGGAGGCAGGAGCGGGCGGGCAATTTGTGAGCCTCCGGGCTTTCAGGGCTGGTGTGCGCTGCCCAAACACACCAAATTGCAACTCCCAGCACGGGGAGTGCGACTGACAGGGGATCGACAGGACTGCACTCGGGGACACAGTCTTTCTCTGAGCAGGACGTAAAAACAGGAGCCCTCTCTGGGCTGGATGGGGGGACAGGAGCCCTCACTGGGCTAAACTCAGGAACAGGAGCCCTCTCTGGGCTGGATGCGGGGACAGGGCTAAACTAAGGAATGGAGCCCCAAGGCGCAGGATGGTCGACGACAGACCAAGGCGGAGCCGGAGGGATGAGGGAGCCCGGTGGAGCCAGTGGACTGATGGACCACGGCGGAAAAGAGGGTGCTAGGAGCCATGGTGGAGCCGCTGGGTCGATGGGCCAAGGCGGAGCCTGGGGCTGGAGACGGAGGAAAGGGATACTCCAGCCACGGTGACGATGGAGGATGACAGACCCGTGGAGCTCGCACCGTACAGATGGTGGGCTGAGGGCGTGCAGAGGGGCTGCCAGACGACAGCGGTGGAGGAGGCAGGAGCGGGCGGGCAATTTGTGAGCCTCCGGGCTTTCAGGGCTGGTGTGCGCTGCCCAAACACACCAAATTGCAACTCCCAGCACGGGGAGTGCGACTGACAGGGGATCGACAGGACTGCACTCGGGGACACAGTCTTTCTCTGAGCAGGACGTAAAAACAGGAGCCCTCTCTGGGCTGGATGGGGGGACAGGGCTAAACTAAGGAATGGGAGCCCTCTCTGGGCTAATCTTAGGAACTGGAGCCCTCTCTGGGCTGGACGTGGAAACGGGAGCCCTCTCTGGGCTGGACAGGGGAACAGGGCTAAACTAAGGAATGGGAGGGACAGAGGTCACCGATGGAGGAGGGAGAAGAGGGGGCAGGTCGGTATACAAGTCAATAAGGTCTCCTTCCGCTTTCCTTTCACCCAGATCCATTCTCAGCTCACCCTCAACCACGGTGCAGGGGGCGGAGCTCCTCTCCACGCTCTCTCTGTCCACGGCTTTCTCGTGGCGGGCGTTGTAGCCGGCTCTCGCACCTGGTCTGACGATCCATGAGGCTCTGGCTCCGTGGCGATCCTCAGCTCTGTCACACTCCTAGGTCCTAGGCGATGGCTTGTCTGGCTCTCCGTCAGTGGTGGGCTTAGGCTCTTGCTCCGCGCAGCGGGGTGATGGTGGGCTGGGCTCTGGGTCTGGCTGTGTTCTGGATCGGGGTTAGATGCTCTCCAGACACCGGATGATTGCCTCCCCCCAGCACAGTCCGGTTTAGCCTGATAGCACTAAAAGCGAACGTCCCACCCTCCCTGCAATCGCCATCCAAAGCCACGCCCCCTGAACGCATATATGCTTACAGACCAGAATACCAGAGACAACATTACTACAATAGGCTACATCAGCGGTTCCCAATTCCAGTCCTCGCCCCTTCACTTTAAGTGAAGTAAACTTCAACGGATTTCCCCTGCTCAGGGAGTAGTGAGCAATGAACACCGTGTA